CATTAAAACCATCATTTCTGCTGATAAACTAACTGTTGATATTTTCAAAATATCCTGATATACATAAACAGATTTATATAATAATATTTCAAAAGATATGACTATGTAATAAATATTTTAAATAGTTTATGCGGTGCTAATTTTAAACCTGGGAGTGCTAAGCACCCTCCTATGTGCGCCTATGGATTTAGTACAAATTATACATTTGGTAGGTAAGTACCTATATAAGTATACATATACATCCCTATTTTCAAATGTTAATGCCAAACCTAAAACTTATTGTACCAAAAATTCTAGTAGAAAACATTAAAACAATTAGATTTTTTCTTGAATAATTAAGTATTAACTTGAAAGAACTTATAATCATTTAAAATAACACAACTGATATGGATAACGAGTAACTTATTGATTTGTTCAATAACTGTTTTCGAAATATTTTTATAATTATATTAATCATATTCGTTTACATAATACCTATAATAGGTAAGTTATAGATATTAAACAAACAATTTATTCTATATTTCTTTAATCACAAACAAGGTCTACCCATAATTATTATAATCAATGGCCTATAATTATACAACTATTAATTTATTATATTTATTTTTAACCACTACATTTAATATTATTTTCACATCTCCTTTGAGGGCTTAATTTGACACTAAACGTATGTATCGAAAATCACAACATTTGTATAAATCGCACAGCTTTAATGATTATTTACAGAGCTCGAGATCATCGCAGGCCGGCAATGTAGCTGAACAAGAAATTTAGAAAACCATCATCATCACTTCATAAGCGTTATTTTGTTATTACGTATTTCATACTTGAAGTACACATTATATAATAATAATATAATATAGTATTAATGCTTTTGATAAGGCTCTATTAAAGCCAGAGCACATATTATCAAATATTGATTATTACTGAATAATATGTTTGCACTACCGTAAAACACTCACTGGTACTTGTACGTATTAATAATAATCTAAAGTAAAAAGCATCTTTTGTACTAAGTTTTATCAATTTTAAAATATAACTTTATTATATCTTTTTGTAACACTACAACAATATTGTCGTTATTGGGTTTCATTGTTGCATAGCTCCGGAGGAGTTCTAGTTTGAAAAGTCCATTAAGCATGAAGTTATATAGCCCTGATGAACGACCCAAAAGCCATGTGAAAATTGTCGTTACACCAACAAGTGAGGAGGATTTGTACAATAAAATAGCAACAAGCAACAGTAAAGAAGGACCTAGGCGATCAGCATACATAAGATCACCTTCACTACACAATGACATAGTTATACCCGAAGAGGCAGTTAAAACTAAAAAATGATAAGATGTCATCAATAATTAAGAATTATATATTTGTCCATCTACTGTGCAGAACATTTTTATAAAAACATTCCAGATGTGGCATAGGGTTACTACATTTACAGTTCCTGACATTAGCAGCATAGTTGAGATGTTGGGTTTTAATGTTTTAGATATATGGTACAATATGCACATTGTGTGATGATAATGATAATAATAAGAATAATAATAATAAATAAATAAATGGCTTAATTCGAATACTGATACAAAATCAAAATATAATACAGTAAGTACAAGAGTAATAATGGGATAAATTGCATATTTAACTAAACAAAAATTAATAAGGGAAAAAAAATCAAAACAAAATTCAATACATAATAAAGTAAAATTTTTAACAAAAAGAAAAAAAAATGGAATACATTTATCTTGTTACAGGTTTGAACTTGTGTCGATTATTTTTTATACATATGTTTTTGGCCCAAAGCAAGTCATAATATTAACTTCAATTTTAACTTTTGGTCAATGGTTGTATTTTACTAACTATTTACACTTTAAAATTTAAAATTTAATTTGGTATAACTAGAATGTCCTCAACACTCCAAAATAAACCAGATATTCATAACTCACTAAAATAAAAGTTAAAAATTATCGATATTATTTAAGGTGTTTCCGGTAGAGATGCCAGTCTTAAACTATGAAAATAATCCATTTCCAATATTTTTTCAGCCGACATTCTGTTTGCCGGATTGTAGGTACACATTGCCTGTTATTAAAGAAAAATACATTAATTATAATAATAAAATTATTGTTACTTATATTTAATTATCTTTAAGAATAACTAATAAGCTTATATTATTGATTTAATTTTCACATTATTGAGAAATGTGGTATTTTATAATCTGGGATTAAGAAAAAACAAACGATAATTGATTGATAATTATAATACTAAAACTAACAATATTTTCATATACACATAATTAAAAAATGGTAATTTAGAATCTAAGATGTGATTAATTTCCAATATAATAATAACATTCAGTATTTTATATGTATGATATAACACAGGAAATAAATCTTAGAGTAAATATTTTCTTAGTTTCACTTATATCTAATTATAAAACATTCAAAATAAAATAATAGTTAATATGTAATATAAATATTTGATGTACCTATCAAGAGATTTTGCTATACTTTTTAATTCTTCAGTCAGATAATATCAGTTTTATTGGATACCACTATTATATTTTAAAATTAATAAAATAAATGTAATCTAAAATCTTGTATCAATGGAACGAATGATATTCTTTCAAATAATTTTCTAACATTTAAAATTGATCAAAATCAATGTTAAGAGGATGCCACATCTGCATGTATTGTCTCCATCGTACAAGTGGGTAGCATAGGACATTTTATGCTCAGTAGATTACATTTATCTCTGTTAGTTTGAAATTTAGAGTGAATTGACCTATCATACAAATTATCTAGGGAATCTCATGGGCTTTTTATATTTTAACTTTTAAGCGAGTTATGAGTATTTTTAGATATACAAACAATTTACAATTTTAAAATATTCCTAACTCGCTTTAAAATAAAATTATTATAAAAAGTCCATGAGATGCCCTAGATAATAATCTTGCCTTTAATTTTTATGATAGGAATGATCAGATTCACTCTTAATTTTAAACTAACGGAGATAAATGTGATCTGCTGAGCCTAAAATTTTCTATACTACGCACTTGTATGACAGAGACAACACATGTGAGTGTGGCGTTCTCTTAAGAACCATCAATGATGATACTACAATTACCATGTGGTATTAATAATAAATTAAAATAATAACATCATTATTAAAATTCAAAACACTATTATACCAATAGGTATAACGATGAAATGAATAATAATATTTTTATAACATTCATTTCATTACTTAACTAGCACATATTTTTATTTTTTATGTGACTGTAGTTATTATTTATTTTACCTTTTTTGATTTTAATGTTCTTATATTATTAGTATTTTTATTATTCTGTTAATAAACACTCTTACTCACATAAAAAACATTTTGTTGATCTTTATCAGAGAGTTCAGGTAAGAATTCTTCAATGAGACGTGCTTCCCATAGAGGAAATAATGGTTTAAAATCTGGTAATTTATGTACTCCAGGCCATGTAACATCTGTTGGAGTTCCGAGAGTCCGAAAAATTCTAAATAACTGGTCAATTTCTGAATCGCCCGGAAATAATGGCCTCAAAGTCATCTGTTTAAACATAATAAAAGCAGAAAGTTTGACTTATCATTTTTATATATTATGGATTAATCTTTTTTTTTTAAATTTTTGTAGAATTTTACAGTAGAAAAATAAATGCATTTTAAAGACTCACCATTTCTGTGAATATACACCCAAGGCTCCAAAGATCTACAGCCATGGTATACACCTTAGCTCCTAATAATATCTCAGGTGCTCTATACCACAAAGTTATAACTTCATGTGTATAGTTACGCAGGGGAAATGAAAATGCTCTAGCTAATCCAAAGTCTGCCAATTTGATTATACCACCAGCAGTATTTACCAAAAGGTTTTGTGGCTTCAGATCTCGATGAACTATGCGATGAATATGACAATATGCTAACGCATTTAGTATTTGGTATAAGTAACTCTGAAAGTTGAAAACAGTTTTATAAAAGCATCCTCAAAAACATCAAAAAATATATGTAAATCAAGTTAAAATAAAATAAAATTAATAACATTTTATCCTAAAAACTGCATTAAAGATATGTGGCAAGAAAAGTCAAATGAAGTCAAAGTCAAATTATTTTATTTTAATTATGTGATACTTGTGCAAGTATACCTACAAAAAAAAAAAAAATTTAAAAACAAAAACTGGGCAAGATAAATGCATAAAATTATCATGAGCTATTAATGTGGATACTTATGATCAGGGCCCAGGAATGATATGGAAGAACTGTGAAAACATTCCACAATTATTAATGGTTCTAAATGAAAAAAATGGCTGTTGGCCCGAAAAACATTTTTATTTAATTTATAAATTTATAGATAAATATTAAATAATGAAATAATTATTTTCTCAAGCTAATACAAATATAAAATTTTACATTATTTAAAAACTACTTTTTTTCTTTCAAGTAAATTTATCTACAAATTCAAATAAAAATAAGTAGATAACCACTTTGGTATTAAGTAGAAGTTATACATGCCTAGTCATTTAGTAGGTACTGTAGTGGATTTGTTAAATTTTAATTCAATGATAAATTACTATAATATATAATGAATAATGATTCTGAGTAAAGACGGTCTAAGTATACTAATAATGATATTAAAATGTTAGTTTAATTTTTTAGTATTAGGTACAAGACCATTTTAAAATGACTGAGAATTATCAATTCTTATTTCTCAAAAGTACCCACTAGATCCAATTTACTAAAAGAAACTCTATCAAAGTTGATCTTTTTTACTAGAAAATGTGTCTTCAAACACAAATATAAAAATCATATATCATTGTAAAATCAATATATTTATTGTTATGCTTAAGCATAAAAAAAAAAAAACTGTTATAATATTAAAATATTTTAAATATTAATAATATTATATTATATATTACTTATAATATTAATATTAAAAACTGTCAAGTAGGCAATCACTTATCTATACAGTATTAGATATCTAGTGCAGTGGTTTATAACTGGCAGGTCACGAATAACTGTGATGTGTGTCACCAAAAATATTGTATATTTATATTGTATGTGATCAAAGTATAAATATATGACATTATTATGACGTTATGAGGTGATGATACAAAACATATACCAGAAAAATTACTGTGAAGATAGTCTCATTCTAAATTTACATATAGATTTAAAATTTATGTTTTTTTTAAAATCAATTACTTATTTTAAATGTGTTTCCAATTGTATGCATCTAAATAAGGGTATTTTTTTAAAAACAAGGTTGAAAAACATTGGTGTAGGGCATCTTGTCATAGAGTAGGTCAGGTCAGTGTAATGAATGTAAAATTATTATGAATGAAGGCGGTTTTACTTTTATTTGACCTAAGTTCCAAAGTTATTAAACAATTATTTTAATAATAATATAAATATTTTATCAAGTTTTTTTTTTTTAATTTCTAAATATTTTTACTTTTAACCCTTAAAGTACAAACTATTGTCCTATTTGGAAAAAGAAACAATTCTTAAAGTTGAAAATCAAATGATTTTTTCTACCATAAATAGTGTCATCAAACACAAAACAAAAATTTAAATTTAATAAACCACAATTAAGATGCTATATTTATAAAAATATAGTCACATGTTTTAAACCTAAAAATAAGTGTTTTACTGTTGTGAAATAAATAAACTACGTTTTGATAAATTATATTTGAAATTTTTTATACATCTATATGTATATATCTATTGTAATAATAGTATAAAATACATAAGTTGTATATCATTTTTTAAGAATATGAGGTGTACCAGTAATGGTAAGCCAACTTAAAGTTCCTACAATTGACATTTTCGATAAATTATAATTAAAAAAAAAATGAGAATTTCAATTTCTAAATAAAGTAGGTAGGTACATAAAAATTATTTTTATTTAATTTAGTTTAAGATTAAATCTAAACAGAAATTATTTATTTCATTAATATGTATTTATAAACTGAACAGGAATTATTAATAAAATTTTTATTAAACCAGATTGATGGTGTTATATTATGGTAATTAGTAGGTTTCTAAAATTATATTTTTGTGATTTGTTCTCACCTTGATTTGAGGTTCAGGTAATCCAAATCCAAATTCTTTTCTGCGCAATTCTAATACTTTTTTTAAATCATAGTCCATAAATTCAAATACAAGAAACAATTTCTTGTCAGACATAATGACATCATAGAGTTTGACGACATTTTCATGGTTTATTTCCTTCAACAATGAAATCTCTCTCATGGCTGTCGAAGGTACACCTTCTGCACTTCTGTACAATTCATGAAAAACAGTTAAATCATACATAAACAGAAATAAGGTACTAACAGTCAAGTGGACAAAATTATTTTGATGCTGGCAGATATATTAATATGACAAATGGCCAAGTGATGACTGGGATAATGGCAAGAATAAACCAACCAAGACTAAACCGGGTAGTTGTGGAAAAAAAAACTTACGACTCCATTCTGACTTTTTTCAGAGCAACAAACTTGTTGGTCTGCTTGTCTAGCGCTTTGTACACAACCCCATACGTCCCTTCGCCAATCTGCTCCAGCTTGTCATAGTTGACGTTGATGCTGACGTTTTTCGTGGGACCTTCTTTCACAAACTGTCTGCTTTTCAAGGCGCTCTGCAAAAAAAAAAAATTTCGCAAGACGTGTCACGCGAAGGCTCACACACACACACACACACTCAACCACATACATATAGGTAGGTAAGTGGTTAGGTATTTATTGTAATATGTGTCGGGTATAAATATAAATAATATTATGTAAAAATAATAAATTATTTCTATTGTGTACAAAAAACAAACCTGCATGACTCGTTGGCCGCCGTGTAGGGATAGGCTGTAGGTGTCACGAAACGTAGTGAAAAGAATACGAATTGCGGAAAAACAACTACGATGAAAAAAAAATTGCGTCCGGTGAAATTCGCAGAGGAGAAGGTGGCGTATAGTCAACGAGTAAAGAGACGACGTAAGACTTGAAAGGAGAAAAAAAAATAGTTAATGTAAACATTGTAAACAAATGCTCGATGATAAAGTCAGATTTTCCCGCCGTTTTCACATTCGCACATGCACCGAGACGGACTGGGCCAGTGCTACCAGACGGCCGAATCGAAATAACAGCTGAAAAATCCCGCCGTAAGCAAGACTCGTATGAAAATGTATATTGCAATAAAATATAATAATTGTATAGGTACGGCATAAAATAATGAATTAACCTAGACATATATTATTTTCATTAATATTATTTTTGTCCCCTCAACTTTGACATTATTACCTCCATATTACATCGGGCACATTTCCCGGAATCGTATATATGTTACACATTTTACACATCACGTAGCTAAMCTGCAGTAACCCCTATATTTAATTATTTATTTATTTAATTAATTTACGMCGGTCGGCATTTACATATTGGTGATGGAGTTAATGGAGAAAATTTTTTTAAATTGTATAAATGTGAAAATTATAGATAACATAGATAGTATATTCAATTTAACATAAAAATAACTTAATAATTAACATTACTAAAAAATAGGTATGAAGTTAAGAAGTTAACAGCATCCTAATCCTGAACGTGGCAATGAAACTAAGATACGAAGAAATATAATTTTGTACAAAATGAAATGCATATATATTGTAGAATATTGTATAAAAGCATTGTTGTTTACAAAAGATTTAAAAATATCATTTAAAATAAGTAGGTATACCGTATACAAAGTTTTAAATGCCACATAGAATTATTATTGTATTAATCATTGTTATAAGTAACACTTATAACTTATATATAATGTAATATAAAATAAATTTTAATCCACTTAATATAATAACTAATTTCAAATGAAAAATAAAATATTTTTTAATAAAACTATTTATACGTAATTTAATATTTTTTAAATTTTAATTCGTAACGTGCAAGATAGGAAAAAGCGATGGATTTCAAAAAAAATAAAATAAAAATATATACAGCATTAAAAAATGTAATTTAAATAATATTTCATATCAAGAAGTCAAGACGCATTTAGTATGTAAGTACCTTAAAAGAAATTAAACTTACATATATAGAATATACACAACAAACACACAAACTAATAATTAAATGGTTATCAACGGACAAGAGGTAGTTGTTACTAATTGTTTTGATTTAAACAATTTTTGGGACTAAAATCTAATAACCGCACGAAGCATTCGGAGCTTTTAATGTTATCAATTTGTTGCTTGTTTGAATTGAGGGTTTGAGACAAGAATAAAAAAGTGTGTAGTGAGTATATGGTTGGACCATTAAGGAAAATACGACCATATTCAAAAGCAATAAAATAAAACATAAACGGATTTTGAAAATAATGGTAAAATAACTATTAACTATCAACTGTTTATACTCTGTCTTACACCTGTTTTGTTACTAGTAATAATTCAAAAAAGTAAAAACATTATTCGAAGATACCATTTTGTAATTTCTTATATTTCTTATATCTACTAATGCGCAGTGAAATTCTATAAAAATGTTATGTTAATTAAATATATTATATAGCCAATATAATAGCTACTTATTACTTTTAGTAATCATTAATTATTAGGTTATACTGTTTATAGATTGAAACGGAACCATTCGTGAGGCGTTGGAAATAGGGACCGTGGACCCTGGTACCAAAAATTGATAGTCTAAAATGTTCCGACGCTTGTTTACCCGATAACTGTTACGTTTATGACGAGGATGATTTTTTTATAGGTCCCTGGTATCAAAATCAATATTGCAATATTTTCCAAATATTTATTATTTAAAAAACCATAAATATACTATATATATATTATACTACAACATATATATATTTTTTATTATAATTTAATATTATTAATGTATTATACTTTTGTAATAATAATTATTAATTACCGTTTAACCAGTTACCACAGCGATAAATATAGGGCAGTGGATAAATAAATATTTTAAGAAATATACTCAATACTCTCATGTTAGCGAATTCTCAAAATTCATATTTTTATAAAAAGTTATTACGTTCCAAATTAATTTAACCAAGAAAATATTGAATTTTAGAAAATTTTTAAAATATAAACTACTTGACTTAAATAAATCTTTTTTTGTTAAATTTAACCTGCATTAATTCCAATCTAATCCCAAAGGCAAGATTTTAATATTCCTCAAATATTATTTATATTAAAAAAGATTTCATTTTTATTTTTATGTTAACTTTACGGTATCCACTCATAGTGTCATGATGAATGTTTCAATATATAGTTTGTTACATGGGTAATGCTGCAATATGATTTAAAATATTAAGAAATCAATGAAAAGTAAATAAAAATTTATATTGAAATCATAAAAATAATTGCAATGTATTTTTTGCAGTTGAACCGTGATAACAGTTTGTTTTGAACCAAGTAATCATCCAAGATTATGACGTAATTACTAATCAACTCTATAGATAAAACCACAGATTAATAATATAATATAGCCATATAGGTATTATCCGTGATGGTTAAAACGTAAATATTATGATCAAGGAAGATCCCAAGAGGGGGGGGAGATCCACCTATCGCCCCCCTTTATAACCACTACTGACTCGTTTGTTAAAATATTATATTCTGATTAACAGCTGATAACTTTTGTCGATCATAATCGTACATTCTTTGGTAAGTATTGAAAACAGGAACTACTAGCAATTCAATACACGACGCTACAGTTGTGTGCTACACTAACACAACTTATCGTTTAACTCTGAATAGAAGGAGAACAGCACGCGGGCAAACTAAAAAAAAAAAATAAAACCAATACTAATATACGGGTGTCGGACACGTGTAGTGTGTCGACAAAAAAAAATGTTTATTGTACAAACAACAAATATTTCGATAACACATTTGCGATATTTTGAGTATACTGATTGAAAGAGAATATTAACAATAGTTGTAGACAGACGACCGGACGAGTATAGAAACTTAAACAAGTCATTAGACAAAAATGCGAATGCAAAATCGATGCACGAAAAGACTACGTAGAACCTAGCGAAAAAAACGTGCTCGCGCGAGTTAGGTAGCGAAAGAGAAAGAGCCGTGCGCGACCGTTCGCCGCGTGAACAGGTACGTTGGTCGGTAACGAATACACAACAACAAATAGGACGGTGCGAAATTTGGTTGGATGTCGAAGGATTGGACACCGTATACGTGTGATGGTCGGTAAGTGGATCCTCCCGTACGATAATGAATGACGCTGGTTTGAGTCGATCGATGGCAATCCACGCCGTGGTGGAAAGATCGCGTTGCACCTATTGAATAACGTTTTTCTCGGCGTTCGACGAGTACGACCAGTGAGCCCTCGTAACGTGGTTGGAGCGGTGGTCTGGACAAACACGGCATGACTGACGACTCGACTCTGCAGGTCGGTGAACACGAACGTAGTGCGTTGAGTATCCGAGCTGTCTCGCGGAGTCTCGCTACGCAGCTACCAGCTCGGGTGAAAGTGCTCGCCTGAGCAGGTGCCGTATACCAACTCGGCCGCCGAAGCTTGTTCGGCGCCAGCCGCTTTGACTGTGTTGCGCAGCGCGAGTAGTACGATATATAAGCAGCTTGATGGCTGACCTGCACTGCAGCGGTGATTCGTGCGCGGCGTGCAGTAAAAACATACTACCATCGCGTTGGCTGCATGTTGTCCAGAGGGTGATACGCGGTATCGAATGTGCTGAATAACGCCGAAAAGTTGATCGAAAGTGCAGATTTGAACAGATCCTACTCGAACTGTCGGCCTTGGTCCGCGATGACGATGATGTCGGGCACGCCGAACCGTGCAGCCATTCAGTTCGCTATTGTTGAGATCTACGAGACTGCTCACCAGTGGCGCAACTAGGGTGGTGCAAAAAGGTTTTTAGCACCCCCAAGTTAAAATTTAGCACCCCTAGTTTTTTATATATAATTATTATTATATAGGTACCTAATATTATGAATTTTATGTTTTTAAATGATAGGAAATTTCCTGAAAAAATGTATAACTGTTTGTTCGTATAATATACTTTGTTATTTATCTTTGTTGAATATTGAAAAAGATTTATTCAATCAGATAAACACCGAAACTATTTTGAATAAATATATATTGCATGAAACCCAGCAAAATTATGCTGATTGCTGATTTCAAATATATAAATTATTATTTATTTAACAGGATTATGAAATTAAAATGTTTCAATATGTTTCTGATATTGTAGTAAAAAAAGAGTAGTATAAATGTTGTTCATTTTTTTATTTTTGTAAAAAGTCTTAATATATTTTTTAAAGTTTTGATGTACCTATCGATTAAAGTTGGTCTATGTGTAGGGGGTGTGGGGGGCTTTACCTCCCATGGCCCTGTGATGTATTCACAGATTTAGCACCCCTCGTTTTAGAGATCTAGTTGCGCCTATGCTGCTCACGCCAACATATTCTCGATCTGCTTCTGGCTATTTATTATAGGTACGCGGCGAGAAGGCACTCATCTCCGTCACCGTTAGCGCTGTATCTTATTTGTTCGGCGGGAGATGATTTTTCGAGAAAAAAACCCAGCGGCTGCCACTGACCGCTGACGTTCTGTTCGAGGACAGGGCCGGCTCAGGTGCGATAAACCCGCGGTTTCAGCGAGCGCTCGTCAAAACTGGCTTGCGCGGTCGCCGTCCACTGCAGTATTGGACCGTCCTGCAGCATGTTGCATGGTCGATCTCTCGGCTGCCGTGCCGTACAGCGGGGCTTGTATTTTGGTGATAAGAGTTCATCGAACCAATAGAAAGCGTTGAACTAGAGCAGCGTTGTGTTTGATTTGCAAACAAAATTATAGGCTTACTGTAAAGTTACTAATGCGATGAAGTGCGCGGGGCCCTGGGCAGCTGCCCCTTCTGCACTGCCCCTTCGCCGGCGCTGCTGATAATTTCCATAATTATTTTATAATTGTTTTTCAATTTCGAGGTAGAAGGAATCTCGTGCCAATTTAAAAACTAAGCAAGTTCTGTTCGCGGCACTGGAAAGTTACATTTTTGCAAAAAGAAATGTTAGTTTTTACTAGGAAAGTATAATGGGAAACCAAGTTTCAAGTGACATTTACGTAAGCAGGTTTTCATTTAATGTTTTTTTGAAGCTATTATAGCCATGTTGATGATTAAAATTAATTGAATTACCTCTTAGGTTCTCTGCGTTAATAGTTTTTGGTTTAAATTAAGCCATAATAAAAATAATCATTATTACTTCTGATTTACAATTTTTAAATTTTTAAATGGCCAAAATCACCCATGTTGACAAGCATCACACTTCTTAAATTATAACAATTCTCTCTACGATTTCATGGCAGTGACAATTTGTAATATGCAAAGATATTTGTACAGGATGCAATAATATTGTTCAGTATTCTTTAGGTACAGATATTTATTTAAAATGTATTAAATTAACAAACAAATTCTTATGTTAGTATTCCAAATGAATACGTGCGGATTGTTTATTTTATTACAAGCAATACTAGGAATTTTTGAATTTTTAAATGCGTTTAACCAAATCATTATTAATAATATAGTATTATTTGTTATACAATTTAAATATTTTTACAAAATCAAATAAATTTACTTATTACTCAGATACATATTTATTTGAAATTTGAATGAACATTTATTTACCCTAATAATACATCAGGGTAGGTATCCAAAAAAATATTTATTATTGGGATTATCCTTATAACTAAATATAATCTTTATCGAGTACTTGTACGTTTTACATTGACACTGAATATAAAGTATCGATAAATCTTGATGAATTATAAAAGCATAAATGAAATCTTGATTAATGTGAAATGTAACTTTTGTTCCCTCCTCTCCAATATGTGGTCATGTTACGTTCACGGTCCAAAATTTCCTTATTTTTTTTTTTGTAATCTAATCGTGTCTGTACTTGTGACGACTTATATAGAGGCGATGACTGCTGCAGTAGTGCTATCTATCGCCGTATTTTTTAAGTTCCCAACGAATTCACAATGAACTGATCGAGATTTTTGCTTTTTTTAGTCGCTAGATGACAATATCAAATACATTTTTTATTGTATAATTACAAATTTTTTTTCTCTTTACTTTAATTTTATCGCTTACTGGCCGTATTATATGAATATTTAATTTTAAATATTCTTAAAATATAATGATAATTATTAGTATTGAAATAATTATCTTGATGAAATAAAATATACACTACAATCATAAATCTTAAAGAATAGTTTATGATGAATAATTTTTATATCTAGATAAAAATAAATAACAAGCATTTTTTTGTCTGCATAAATTATTTATTGTATCAGTTATAAGTTATCTTAAAACCAACAGAGGTGCTAAAATTGTATATTGTATATATAATATAATATGAATAACAATTATTTAAAAAATTGATTTTCGATAATATTCTAACATATATAATATGATTATATTTACATAATGTATACATGAACAATAAGTAATAACTAATAAATATCTTTAGAGACCCTAAGTAGTTAAAAAATTGAACAAATTTACGATTATTTTATTATATTACTTATTTTTAATTATTATACATAATAAGTCTTAAAAAGTTTTGTGATTGTTACAAGAAACAATCCACTAAATATGGTAACTAATTACGTCGTGGCTGTTGATTGGTGCGATTTCGGTATTTTGTTTTTTATTTTCACTTTGGACGCCGCCGTCTACTGCAATGGACGATTTTTGGTTTCTGTTTAAGTGATATATCAGACTGAAAAAGTAAACCAAAAATATATTATAGCAAACGTATCGTTACAATATAATTATTAAACAACATAAATTATTATAATCGCATTTGCAGAGACATCATAAGTTTAACCTACGTATTATATCACACACATACAGATACAATTTATTTAATACGCCATGGATAAAAAATTTAAACTATAAATAATTGGCAAAAACTGAAGAAACAGATGAAAAAAAATATTGAACAAATAGGTACTTACTAAAAAACGAATATAAGCGGAGTTGTTAGGACAATACTGATTATAAAAAATGCACTGGGCGTTGATTCTAATGTATGGTTGTATACAAAACTGTATAATGGTAGAAATCCACCTTTCATCGAATTTTCCATTAATAATTTCACTGCATTCATAGAACCTGGCGCAACGTATACATTAAAAAAACTGTGTTAAAATCGAACTACGCTGCAGATCGTAAAAATGTCTGTTATTAATATTATTTTCATAAGTTATCATATAATCACCCAATTCCTCAGATCCAACGCATTTCGAAGCAATAGAACTGGTCAACGCCAAAGCTGCACCTCGAAAGATCTCTAACGGTGGMACTGTAAAATTACAAATTATTATTTTAACATTTTAACACAGCTATCGTTGATCAAGAAATGCCGTTTTTCGCGGTAATATACTTACCTAAATATAGTTGCCATGATTCGAAAACTAAAAAGAATGCGACCGCTGCTAAAAGATCAAATACCGAAGAAATCGCACCAATTAACGCATCGTTCATCCGAAATTTGTAGCTTAAAATCCCTAGTGAAAACATTGTGCCTGGAAAAAGATTTATATTGTAAAAAAAAAATAATAATAATAACTACAGTGTAAGCATTAAAACAAAACAACTTAAACAAAATTAAAATAGGTGATCACTGATCAGCTATGTTAATAATTAAAATATCCACTTATGAAGCTTATTAAATGATAAACAAAATACATTTTTAATTTATATAAATTATCATTTGTTATAGAGTATTAGTAGTTAGTATCAACAAAAAATGAATCATTTTAATACATTTTAAGGCTGCCTCTCTCTCTGGAATATTACCGTTTGTTTTATTTTTTCTTAAATATTTGTTTGGTATATTGTAATAATATACAGGTTGGTAATTTTTAGGTTACAGTTTTTAACTACCTACCTAGGTATCTAGATATTGTTATCTATTATTAAAAATTAAACTTACCTAACAATATGGCGGACATCTGGTAAGCATTGAAAACACTAAAGTCTACTTCATTCCATTGAAATTTATACCTCAAATATAGGTATATTACAGACATTTCTCCTAAAAAAAATATGTTTATGCATTGTTAGATTTATTAAATAGGTAATTTTAATTTACATTTACAAACAATAAAAAGGTATTATTAAAACAAGTTTTTTATAACAAATATAATATTTTTGTTAGTTGTACATATTTTTTATTAATCTTATTAATTTAATATTTTTGAGACGTAAACAGAGTGTTTCTTAATTATTTATGTGTAACAAAATATTTTTAGTTGTTATTAATTCAATATCAATTATCTACTGGTTCTGGGTATTGAATAATTAAATTAAAGAACAATGCTATCAGTCGTTAGAGAAACAAATATTTACTAATATCATTTATATGACAGTTTAAAATATTATTTTATCAATAATGTTATTAATAGCATTATAAATTATAATGTTTCTATACATAAATAAATAACAACAATTATAATATTCATTGGACTTGCCTAATTTTCTCGTCATATTTGTTACAATCTATAAAATAATTCTTGGATTTTACAAAATGTTTTATAGTTGGTAATGATAATAATATTAAATAATTTCTAATCTTTCATAATAATTAATAAACTATTGAGCAATTTTATTGAATAAAAGAACATAGACAAATAATAAAACATAATTGATTATCGTTCAGTTTTAAGACGTCATTTTCATCTCTGATCAAATGTATTAGACGAGAAAAAAAAATTACGGTAGTCAGTAATTCATATTTTGAACAAAATATAACTATAATGGCTTTTCGTAATTGTTGAGCTAGATTTAAAATTAATAAAAAAAAAACTTTTCGTATTAGTTATATACCTACTTCATAATGTCAGTTAGAAAATAAATAACATGGCACCTAATATCAGTTTGGATTGAATGTACCATTCAATACAGACGTGCAATATATTATCAATCTAATTACCTATCGGCTATCACCATTCACTGTTTCAAAATGAAAAATCACTATTACCTATAAGTAGTAAGTACTCGTACTTTAAACTCAAATCTAATTAAAATTATAGGAATTTAATAAGAACACTATCAATGTTTATAATAATATAATTAAAATTTATATTTTAACATGCATCATAATTGATTTATAATTTATAAAATTTAGATAGGATTATTTATACATTGAATGAATTAGTGACAAATATTTTATCCATTAAATTTTTGATCGAAAGTTTCAACTCCCTTGTAAAACTATACACGGACGATCTTTTAAAACAAACGAGACGCTTACTCGTATCTTATCGAATTGATTTTATTTTTTTATGACTCGTCTTACTAATTTTCATTGATTAGATCTACACATTTCCACGAATAATAGTGATTAAGTGCTAATCTTAAAAGGACTCCACACCCACATGTGTCGTTTTCGTTTTACTCACATACAGCATAGAAAATCGTTCACTAGTTTTAATAGTGTGCTGTTATATAGCTTTGAATGCTTTGATATTAGAAATTATTGACTTATCAACAAACTATTAGACAAGAACGTTATCTGTGTTCGTATGCTGGTTTTTTACGACATTAAAATTAAAATTATGAAATAATCATAATTGAATTATGAGCATTTTCAAATATTAACATTTAATCATAACTCAAACCAGAATWAGGATTATCGTAAAAAGAAATTTACGAACACAGATAATATTTTTACCTAAAAGTTTTATAATATAGGTCAGTTCACTATAATATCAAAATTAACAGCACACTATTGAAACAAGTGAAAAAAATGTAGTATGTATGCGTGTAAGACGGAGACAATACATGCCGGTGTTGCGTCCTCTTAAAAAGTTTATGTAAATATCAATATCAAATGTATTATTTATTATTATTAATTATACATGAGTAACATGAATAAGATAATATGAATGAATAGTATAGCAATTAGCAGCTGCTGAGTACTCGAAAATTAGTGTTACACGGAAAAATATGAAACAATGTTTTATATTTGTGGCAGTACTATATAATATGTATATATATATATCATATACTATTTTGATAACATGTATAGCTGTGTTATGTATAACTTATCAATAGGTAGGTACTATCTATAAATAGCTAAAACGTACGCATATTTTTTTAAAACCCATAAAATGATGTATTGAGTAAATAAGTATATAGCTTAAATGAGCGTGGATTATTTAGTATTTGTTTTACATTTAAATATATCATTTTATGAAATACTAATCGAAGATGATAAAAGTTTTATTATTCCATTAGACTGAGCGGAGCGATGAATGTATTAGTTTTATGATGATATCTTATATCTTTTAGATTTTTTTTTTTTTTGTTTCAGTCATCAATTTTGGAGCACATGCAAGAAATTCATTAATCTTAAATTTTATCAAAATTTTAAATTTAATTTAATGGTTGGTATTTATTGTAGTCGAAATTGAAAATCCCTTATATTTTTTAAAGTAGACTATTAATTAAAGAATTTACGCAATCCAGTTTTTGATAAAATGTATTTTTTTTTTTACTCATTCAAAAATGAACAACTATGTAGAGAATTATATTGTATTTAATATGCTACCTATATATCATTGTTATATTGTAATAGTTTTATATTCATAGTAGCATAGTTCTAGAAATAATATAATTTTCAACATTTTGGCTTTTTTGGTGTTATTGATTGATATTTTTGTTTTTAGATTTTTTTGTTTTAAAGTTTCATATACGTATGATTTATATAATATATTTATGCATATTCATACATCTTTATATACGCAATTTTTGTTTGTGTGGAAGATAAAGTTTTGAAATATTATAAAATGTTCCAAAGTTGTTTAAAACAATTAAAAAATATTGAAATTTATAAAAACAGTAATTTTATTACCATATTTTTGCATGTAAAAATAGTTCATCATAGTATAATACTTATAGATATTGATATTATGAAATATTATTACAGGCAAAACTGGTAGATTTTCTCAACTCAGTATGGTTTTTCGTATCAATAATTTATGATTGAATATGTTATCAGTATTCCGACTTACTTAATCTGTATCAATTAATGCATGTAAAACAAAATGTAGGTTATATAGGTATACCCGTATACCTAATATTATACTTTTTGGGACATTCTTATCGACCGCATATTTTTGGACTTTGGATTACACCTGTTGTTTAAATAAGGTAAATATGTAAGCAATTTTACACTCGTATATTTAACAGACAATTATAAAATTTTATTTTGTGTATTATATTAAATTATTATAATTTTGAAATTACGAAGTACTCACTTATGTTTTTGATTTAACAATTTTAAATGCAAACGTAATTTTGAGGCAGAATGCATTTAGTAGAACAACATATCGATAAAAAGCTGTTTTATTTAATACTTAAATATTTAAAGTTTAAACAGACTTAAATAGGTATAACTTTAGAACATGCAGTGTAGACTTTTATCACAGTATGCTATGCACAACATTTTTCTATAGACTATATAGTTCTAAATGTTCTAATTAAACGATAGTGTAATATAAATCGACTCTAATCTTTAGATAAATTGCGTTAAAAAAAATATTTGTTCAAAATTTCAAATATTGACTAGGCATGAAAAATGAGTGCGTAAGTACCATCGAATGGCTTAATTATTCACCTCTGACCTATATAATATTATATTATCATGTTGAGAAACTATTATGTAGGTAAACATAAAATTATTGGTAGGTACATTATATTATATAGAACGTTAAATGTTTGATAACTCACCCTCCAGCGGCACGCACGTGAGCGGTGCGCACACGAACACGACCAGGCACAAGATCAACTTGCCGTGGTTTGGACGCGGTTTGACCAACACTCGGTAACAATTTCGGAGCACGTCCAACGGGTTAACGGCCTGGACTACATCCTCGTTCAGCGAAAGCTGGTCACCGGCGTTTGACGTCCGCCGCCGGACGCCGTCGTCGTTGATGAACACAAACGTGAAAGCGAGTGCGGTCAGGCCCAAGGCGATGGACACTACGTACGCGGCGACGAAACCCACGTTAACCACCACGAACCCGTAAAAAAGCATCCCCAGTATACCACCCACGGCTACTGTACCGCCGACCACGCCGTATTTGACTGTCCGCCACTCGTCCGTGGTCGTGTCGGCCACGTACGAGTTGATGCCGTTGAACAGCATTGGCAGGCCGCCGGTCAGCGACAGCGCGGCCGCCTGCGCAGCGGCCGTCAGCGCCGGCGATACCGACCACACGACGGTGCAGTACAGTGACAGCACGTCTGCCAATATCTGGCCGGCGATCGGCGGCACGATCAGCGGCCGTCGGCGGCCGTGCCGGTCACTCCACGTGCCAGCGGCCATGGCCAGCGCGATGGGCACCAGGTATTGGACGAGCGCCTTCCAGCCGTTGATCGGCGCAACCACGTGCTGCGCGGTCGCCTCGTCCTGGCACTTCGAACCCACTTGGCTGGCCATCGCACCCGTCGGGTCGCACGCTTTGTACAGCAGTAGGTTGGTGCTCAGGCACCCCGAGTACACCATCGCGAGGAAGTAGAACAGCACCACCGGTTCCACGGACACCTGGGCCGCCAGCCCGCGTACAAACGACATCGCTATTGGCAATATCGACATTCGATATTGTTGTTGTTGTTGTTGTTGTTGTTGTTGATATTACAGTACTATGCTCTCGATTCCGCGGTAATCGCCGGTGGTCGTATAGTAACGATCAAATTAATTCTTATCGAAAACGCGTTCACATTAAACGTTATCGTTCGGCGGCGGTGATGAGTGTAATGTTTTAATATACATAATTAATATGCGTGAGTGTGCGTGAACAACTACGATAAGGAAATAAATCGAAATAAATCATAATATTTAAATTTGATTGAAGTGTCGTTATTTTGAGTCCAATCTCGTTCAAAACAATATTATGTTTATTTATTTTTACGAGTGCGTTTAATATCTACTTCCTTAGGCATACGAAAGCGCCAATCAAATCGTCTTATTGTTTATGAAATAGGTAGCTGGTAATTTTCATCTGTGAAAAAAAAAAACTAAACAATTAAAAATTAAATATTGTTGTGCGCGAGTTATCAAACTTAACAAATAAACGAGTCGCGATGATTGGAAGTTGAAGGGCGATATAAATTTGATTCGAGATATATGTTTTATTCGAGAAATCTCATCAATTAAAAGGGAAAGAATTTTCTAGGGGATTAATAAAAAATTCGAGTTATCGAAAATCGACTGTACAGTAGATACTAGATAGTATTAATAATTATGATTAAGAGGACGCTATACCCGCATATGTTGTCTCCGTCTTACAAGTGCGTAACATAGCAAATTTTATGCTCAGCAGATC